GAGAACGGCATCGCAGATATGGAAGGCAGATTTTGGAATCAGCTCATAAAGAAGCACCTAATGATGTGAGCTTCATTCCAATTCGCCACCTTAAATTGAGAGTTCCCTCGTCAGTTCGATTCTTGGAAAAAGAGTAAATCAGCCTTAGGAAATGGACTAGTCTTTTAGAAATGGAATGGAGATTGTTGGGTAAACCCACCGCTCATCACCTCAGATTTCGACAGTAATCTTCTGGGCAGCGCTAACAGCCTTCAGATTGACCTAATGCTCTGTGTTGGTTGGATCGATATAAAGTCAGAAACCTCAAGGGCAATTTAGCTGATTGTTTGGAGAGAGATTCTGAAGAAATTATCAGTTAGGCTGCAATCTTCAGTAAAGGATAGCTCTCCAAGAATCCAGGGTTTACAGTGTAAAAGCTTAGTACACTTACGATATGACCCCCAACTCCTAGAATTATATTTAACAACTTGCTTTACGTTGATGACAAATCTAATGGACTATCACTTACAATGACCGCGTAACAAAGACCGCAAGGAGTGCACTTCGATTTTGGAAAGGCTAAGTATTTCGAAATGCAGAAAGCAAACAATTTTCAATACACGATGCTATATTTAACGCACAAAATAGCTAATGCGAATTAGCTATGATCGATATGACGCGCAATGTAAGCTTGCACTCTCGATTTACCTGCATAAGAAAAACGTAATGCTAGTCACTTCTCTCACAGCAGAAAGCACAAAACTAAACCTCGACAGCTGGAGCCACAATGTTTGGCAGCTTCTCAGGCGTTACATCGTTCTTGGAGTTCTCTGTTGACTGTACTGCTTCGAGCTTTTTATCCGCTTTAGATGCCTTAACAAATCAGGGTACGCCGGAACTGCGGAGGAATTATTTTTGCAAAGCATCATAAGCAAGCAGATTTGAACTATAACGAGGCCTATAAACCTATATCAACACTCAAATAGTAGTTCTGCCCACTTGAACGTTTCACAACTTTTGAATTTGCCTGACTCACATCACTAGGAATTTTAAGCAATGAAAAACACAGGGCGAGGGCACTGTTAATTAAACCCCGGTGAAAAACTACACTGTCAGAAAATGCGCGACCTCTGTCAGAAAAAAATGCGCGATCTCAATGGCCATCTTTTTACGAACCAGTCATTATTTGTAGGTGCAAAAATGCTTAAAAAAGATTATAATTCTCGGGGCTACGATAAACAGCCCAAATTTGAAAACTGCTTAATTTCGCGTAGCGTGATGCTTGTCGACCGTCAAAACGTTGTAACTGCAGCAGACAGGCAACATAAAAGCATAAAAGTTTGGTACAACTGATCCAGACTTGTGATCTTCAATATATTATGCTTCCAGCGGTGCCACGTGAGTGGATCACCCATGTGTAAAAACACCTTTCTAGAGTAACCTTTCGGTGTGATACATCTCATAAACAAAACAGAATCCTTCCAGTGGGAAGGTCTCAAAGAACTCTGTTGCTCCTTTTGGTCTATCTCTTACTAGGCTGATCCACCCATTTTAAGCGCCAAACTGATCTACATACTAATTTCGTATCAAGAATCAAACATTCTGAGCCTTGTTGATTGAAACGGTGAAGGAAGCACACTTTCCCTTTTCTATCTTACTACATAGCACATTCGATACTTATTACCAAAAAATGAGTTTGTATCGAAAGAGTTGCACTGATGTAATTGTTTTCTGGAGCTTTGACACAGTTATTGTCCGATGGCTATAAAAAATACAGGAGAACAATTTATGTGAATGCTTCGACATATTGCGCAATAATTCATTACACTTGCATTCAATCTACGTTGTCAGGCGAGAAATGCACGCACATTTGCAAAGCAAACCAGGTAACTGGACCAAACTAAAAAAAAAGAACACATAAAATCTAAAAACTCACGGAATCGCGATTTCCCATTCTTCTTCGTAAAAGAAGAATGAAAGAAGAAGGAATGCGTTCAGGCACGGCCGCAAACGATTATTCAACATTTTAATGCACCATAAATCTACATTCGCACTTCGTCACTGGACGTAATAATAGGGGCAGCAAAACTGGCCGACTAAGTCTTAAGGTTGAGTCGCAAGGGCTTACAAGGCTTTTTGATACAGATACAAAAGCTTGCATCGTGGTCAAGGCTGAGTACACAGGTTCAAATCACATATGAGCAACTTTCCTGACCTTTTATATAAAGCTAAATATAGGCAGAGACTGGACGCCATTACATCCGATATAAATATAGTACGTGTTCAAGAAAGACGTCAGACAATGTGGAAGCGCGCATGATCTGAGAAACGCCGACAGCGCCTGCGACGTCCTTTCCTTTTCTGCGTGCGATGAACCGCCTATACCAACTGTGCAGAGACGAGAACAAAGAGATTACATAGTGAAGCAAGCTACAGTTGAGATGTTCCGCAGAGACTAGTAGAAATAGGGGGTAATGATTTGGGAAGTTGTAAATTCCAAGAAAGAGAGAAGGTATTTGGTAATTTCCAGCCTACTATTATTAGCAGAGCAAAATGAACATTTTTTTTACCCACCACACAATCATCATCGCATGCAAATATGCCTTGATCACATAACTCTCTGTATTCTAAATTACGGATATGCTGAAGCACGCTTCCCAGGAAGCCACGAAGCAAGAGCTTGCTCCTTGGGCTTATGAGCTTAACCCAGTTCAAAGCAAGCACGATGAATTTCTCAAACAAATTAGGTGATGATGCTTTGTAAGCACGCCAGGTGACTAATCAGTCGCTTTTTTCTTTAATTAGAGTCGGGAGCGAGAAGCTTATTAACTCTTGCTAATTCACTCAAATGCACCGCAAAGTATACAGCAATACGATACAGTCAGTGAAAAAAAGGGGTATGTATAATAGCTTAATCCAAGTATAAGACATTATTTACACAATCATTAGTGTCATGGCCGAATTTGTGGATCTGCAGAAAATAAACTACTCGAAAAAAAAAAACTAGAAAAGCTGTGGTTGTGATCTAGCCAGTCATGACAACATTTTTTCAGACTTAAAAAAATGAATAGAATGCGCTAAAGCAAGCCTAACAAGCGCTGGCTACCAACAGAGACCCATCTTAACGTTTTTCTAGATATTTGCCTTATTCATAACGTAATGCACAGCCTTCCTCTCATACACATCGCTTAAGGATATAAGGAAGTAGCAGTAGCTTCATGAAGACGTTTAGCATGAAGCTTGCTTTTATTGCTTTCATTTACGATATGGAGGTGGGAAGAAAATCCTTGCTCAAATCCGAGTGTCGCTCGACGTTTTCCAAGCTAGTGATTCCGTTAGCTAATAGCTAATATTAGCTAAGATGACTTTGATAAAATTGGTGGTTGTGCAGGATTAGAAGGCCTAACCATTATTGAGGTTCGATCAAAGCAAAAAAAATTGAATTAACATAAAATTCAGTGACACTATGTGTTTTTCTGAAAAAATTAGAGGATGTTCTAACGTTATATCACGTACAACAAAATCGAGCTGTGGTATACAGCAAAAGCGAAAAATTTGGTGGTGCTTGATCGAAAATTAGAAGAATTTTGATATCCATGCAGCTTACCGCAGGTATTATGATTATGACTGAAATCTGCAAGTTCTCCGTCAATGTACTACAAATTATTGTGGTCCAGAATTTTATAGGAAAAAAAACAAAAAAAACTAACCTCTATACCGGTCGAAAAAGCGACCGCCGACGAACCGAACATAGTCGGTGTCGGTAGGTGGATAATTCACGACCTATATGTCCCCTTCGGAATGGAGCAGTCAGCGCGCAAGGGAAACTTGCTGGTAAAACGGGCAATTTGTTCGATTCATACGAGATAATGGGCAGCGAAACGGAAAAGCGACGATTTTTTCGTCCTTGGAAACAGCATGAACGAACCTGTCGGCTGACAGAAGTTATAGAGTTATGGCCGGACTAGCTTACGAGCAATGGGCCTTGCGCAGCAATCCTTTTCGGTCTCTCTCAGAAGAGATGCAATGGGGAATGCGAATCAAGACCTCAAGGGTAGGTAGACACAGAAGACAGGAGATTCTCAGAAATGGTCTACAGGAGCTCTGGAGTCGAGCAAGCGAATTGTTTTTTATTATATACATTTTGTTAAAATTGCATTAACGCCGCAAAAAAAGAGAAACAGAAGGAAGCACCGCTGAACAGAGCAAGACCAACATCAAAGGGTTAACTGCCCAGGAAATGGTATGGAGATGATTCTATTTCTGTCAAAAACAACACGATTATCAGCAAAATTCCAGATCGCACTAACTGCAGGTTGTGCAGAGTCATAGACAATCTATCTTGGCCGTAACTCATTTGCGCTCAGAAAAAAAATGATTTAGAGCATTGGAATACGCAGACAATAGAAAACTAGGATATAAGATTCTCCATGATCTATGGTAGACCAAAGAAGTTTCGTTCCCCAAATGTTTCGAATTGGACTTGCAGTAAGCGCCTTCATAGAGATTATGGCTAACGTACTTGACAGCAGGATAAATGCAAAATCAATACGCCAGAGATTTCTCTGGAATCGGAGAGCAAAGACATGAAGAAAAGTTCGCCTTCCTAATGTTAGCCAATTGCGATATGGACAAAAGGGGCTCACAGTTCATACGAAAAGAACTTTTCAGGGATTTTCCGAGATCTTAGAAAGGGATTGGAGTTTCGACAAATAACTCTTCGAGCTAGCTTGCTGCCAATATCAGCAACAGTAAAAGATTCATCTATAACACGACTTATGGCAAACTGCTGTTCAAAAATTGACAGAAGTGAGTCGATACGGGGATGATAGATGTACTTTCAGTTGATGCACATAGAGTAGAAGGCAGCCCAGGTCGATCGGAAAACCCGCGAGATATGCGAAGATGATAAAGAAAAAAGAAAGAGGAAAGAACACCGAAGAGAAGTCCGCTGGAAGACAGCTGCGGCTCCTTGGAGGACATGAGAGCATGTCTGCTCTAAATGATGCAATTCAACTCACGAAGCTATCAGAATCCGCTGATTTTCCAAAAAGAGACTGCTGCATTTGGTTTACGAACTGTTGCCCATATTCTTCCAACACATCATGGTCCACCTAAGTATAAAATGAATTTAGCAACTGCCACGCGAAAATTAGGAGCGTACCTTTTCGAAACCACTAGAGTCCACAGATCCTTCAGTGGAAGCTTGGCCCGTCGAGCTCGATGACGGAGGAGCCGGTGGTGCCTACATTTGGCGACATGATTTACTTCATGTGAAAATCGCAATAAATCTATTGCTTTCCTACCTGCAGGTTAGCAAAATAGTCGTTCGGATTTTCAAAGCCAGATGGCGGAGCGTTGGGAGAGATATCGGATGGTGAATCCATTAGTGGAGAAAGTTCAGAAGCTTGAGCACTTTTTCCACGTTTAGACTGCAAAGGAGGGATCTGCGGTTGACACTGAATAAATGGCCAGTTAGAAGTGAAGGCTGCGAAAATGCAAATGAAGAAAGAACGATCACAGGAAAAGAAAGAGAAGGCAAAACTATTGTATTAAAATCCAACGAACTAACAGTAGGGAAGAGTCAGCAACTGAAAAAAAAATCAAATGAAGTGAGATCTACTCCACCAACCTGCTTTTCAAACAGGCGCTGCGCGAGAAAAGCGAGGATCATATCGAAAAGCTGATCATTTGAGGATGACTTAATCTCAATACGCTGACAGATAGCAAACAAGAACGCAGTTTGTTTCTATAGGACACGCAATTATTGATACAGCTGAATATTACATATCTTCCACAGAACTAACGACGAGCACCATTTCCGGTCAGTTATGCGAATAATGGAAAGTTGAAAGAGCATAATGTTGGAGAAAGCCGGGTATCGAATACAAATGGATGATCAAAATTCGATATCTATCTGCCAACCATAGAGTAGGAGGAGACGTGGCAGCTAACTTGTAAAGTGTTTCTCTATGACGAGAATAGTCAAAGAGCAATGCTATGTATAAGAGAACAATCACACATCCAACGTGGTAATCCACGCTAGCAAACTTCCAGAGTGCTTCATATAGTTCATAGCTGGGAGAATGCTCCGCCTACTCTACAGCTGACAGCTATTAATGGTTAGTAGCAATTTTATTGTTAGAAGGACACTCTGTTAATGCACCCACAGAAAACATAAATATGCCTCGCTTGATGTTGTCTATAGCAATCTCGAAGTCCTCTCTAGCACTCAATGTCGTAATCGAAGAGAATGAATCGCTGCGATTTTCAAGTTCGTCGGCTGAAAAATATTTCTCACAAAAGCAGATGTGCAAACCGGAGAGTTTCTTGAATGTTAAGTCTTATGCGAGGACTCAGAATTTTTTGTTATTCGATATATGACAAACAATCTTTTAGAAACAAGTAAAGTTTTGCTAGCCTATGGAAAACTACTAATATATGAGGCCAAGATCCGCGCTGAAGTTCCCAGTAGTCCACTTCTACGATTACAACTTATGTTTATTTATCCTTGGAATATATGAGAGCCCAACGATATATCTGCGGATACGTAAATTAATCCTAGTCAAATGTGAATCTGGAAAAACTCGCAAGTGCATCATTTGCTGCATGTAACTGAAGAAAAATTGTAGAGTGACTGCGTCATCGAAATTCTGTACCCTCATTTACGAAATGCACGGCAGCTAGTGATATTTTGACATGAGAAACGAAATTATATCACAAAGTGGGTAGCTTATTCCGCAAGAGTGGAGAGGTAAAAGCTCCATTTTCACATATCATATAATCAAAGCTTATCGTCATCAACAGGTGACAATTATATCCTTATATGGCGCCCTCTATATCAGTCAATTACAGAAATTCGTTTTTAGCCCGAAGTGATTGCGCCGATGAGTTGATAATCGAATACATATAACTGCTGACTATATGGCGAAATACACCAAAGAAAATGATCTGCACTCTGCGGATTTGTGCAGCCGATAATGTGAAAAATCCCCTGAGGTTTGCGTGCGGAAGTAAATTTTTCGGCAGACCAGTGGCCGTATTTATCAACGAAACCCCCGGGTTCCGGAACCCACTGGGTTAGTGCTTTTGATGAATATCGATTCTACTCCAGGGAAGAATCGATATTCATCAAAAGCACTAACCCAGTGGGTTCCGGAACCCAAGGGTTTCGTTGATGAATACGGCCACAGGGGCGGTATGCATCAATGCCATTCGGGTAATAACCTAGTCAGACGATTCTGCCTGACCGTGCAAGTGCCAGTTCAGGCAGAATCGGATAGATGCATGCCTGGGTGTAATAAAGCGCGTCTCTTCGATCAGATGGCCGGAAACGCTAGCAAACCGACAACTCGCTTACTAGACATCGAGACGATTTGATAATTGTTATGTTGCGAGAGTTTGTCTGTTCGACATTTGTGATTCAATTATGAAATTTACAAGAGCCTCAGGTCCCGATCTCTTCAGTACGGACTCAAAATCTATTGTAAACCTCAAGATTAGACCAATCAAATGTCAAAACAGATAAATCGCTTGCAACATAACATTTATTCAATCTTATTCGTTGACCAGTGATTGAATCTCTCGATTTGCTGAAGTTTTAGGCAACCAATCCAAGAGGACGCGCTTTATCAAACAAATTATACAGAGTCGGGACCGGGTAGGTGTCAGGCATTGCGACCTGCCCGATTCTGCCCGCCTAACCGGGCTCTTGCACGGTCAGGCGCCCACGTTCGCGCTTATGGGTTCTGGGCGCCCGCGTCTGACTGGATTACGAGCAGGGCCCAGCATGGATCCGTTTCTATGCTTTTTGAAAACGAAGTCGTCCTTGACTTTCGCCAAAATTTACGAAGTCCCCTTTGACCCCAAACCATATCTGTAAAAAAAACCCCCTTAGAAACGGAGCGTCTATAAAAAAAAGTCGCAATTTTTCGCGTCTTTTCGGCCACGAAAACAAAACTCGTTTTGCTTTTTCGCCCCAAAAACGAAGCCAGCTCGTTTGCATACGCTGCCGGACCCTGATTACGACCTGTACGGGAACACGTACTACCTGAAAGGGAGACTGATTCTTACCGTTCCAGATCGCTTGAGCTTGACCGTCCGTGGCCAAGTACATGGTTGCTGATATCAAAATCTATTTGTGCGTATAGTTTTTACGTTATATTCTACATCTACGCAGTTCGTTTTTTTTTGCATGATCTTCAAAAATTTGCTGAAAAAGCGTTTTTCATTTCTGCATTATCTCGTCATCAAAGAAAAATACCATTCGAGTCTATTTGAATTGCTTTTTTCTGATAGCAAACTTTATACAAATATTTGTCGGTAATAATTCTATCCAAAAACGAGATATTCGTTGACCAATCTGACTGACTCTTGATTACGCAATAGCGATGATGTCAAACAAGCGATCAAAAATAACTTCTCCATCGGCTATGTGATATTTATGTGCTTGCCTCGATGGCAGAGAGTAGCCCGCAAAGAACGGGTAACTGTAACCTTCGGGTAATGAAGCATAACTACAAAACTGGCGCAGTTTTACAATATTATGCATGTTGATGATTATTTGCCGAGAAAAAAAATGAGGATTTGAATATTACTGTGAATACAAAGCCCGCAAGTAAATATGCCTATCGACTTCCACATTGATGTGCCGTAGCGCAGAGTCTTCTCTTCAGGGGAGCGATTTCGAACACCCTCGCGCTCAGAGCTTACAAAATTCGGAAAAATCTGTGCATGAGGTCGGCAGAGAGTAACATGCCGGTATGATCTTTGTGTGGGCCCCAAAATCACAAGCGGACCCTTTGAAAGGGCGGCAAAAAAGAACAATAGATATAAGCTTTCTTGCAGAGAAACGAGCTTTTATCCCATAAAAACGATGCTGCTCGAACTAATCTTGAGTTTGAAAAAAATGCGATTTATGACGGAGATCTTCGAACAGAGAAGAGAGAAGCCTTCAGAGAAGTGTTGTTAGGAAGAAAATTCGGAATGCAGTAGATAAAATAACGATCATAGAGCGTTACCTATGACCAAGGCCTATGACAGAGCAAAGCATAAAAACCAGGTGATCATGGAGTTTATCCCGTGCGGCACCCACCTTCTCAGCAGCTGTCCGTGATTTCGAACGCGGAACGCAGAAAATGCTCGTGCACAAGTGCTTGACGTCAGCGGGTGAGCTCTTTGCGGAAGATCTGAGCCGCTCAGGAAGCGAAAAAGACGCACAAGCGCAAAGCGGTGGATTCGCGGGCTTATGAACGGCGAACCATTAGCTCTAAGATTTTCCCTGCGGCATGATCGATGAAGGAGCGGGAAGCAGAGAAGTTTCGCAAGTTTCGAAATATGGAAGAATTTATGGTAAACAAAAGGGCTAAGAAGTCAGCTGAATCGACGGAGGCTTTCATCTAGCCAAAAATAATATGAAAGAAAGAACGAAACAGATTCGAGGAAAGCTTTCCCGAAGCTCTCAGGCAGGTTCACATTCGAAGAGAAACGAACAAAACATAGACAACTGAACATACGGATGTTCAAAAAAGACTGCGCAAAGTGCATTTCGCAAATCGAAAAAACGCATTTGATTGAAGAGTACTGCACGAAGAGAGCAGCCTGCAGAAAGTCAAAATTTCTCGTAGCTTTCTGATTGACTATACTATTGATGGTTTTATTCTTTTTCACCATCTTTATTCTTCACCTCCTACTCCATATGGGAGCATAAATATAGCAAACATTTTTCTTCGAATATCATGCATGCATAAGAGCATGGATTGCCAATGATGTTAGTTTTGTTATTTTTGCTCAATGACGTGATAAAGACCTTTTCTGCCTTGACCATGACATCAGAAAATTCGTCACTAAGAATAATCCGAACGCAAAGGCCATTATCACTAATGATCAAGACATTTTCAGGACTAAACATATGTTCTATTATTCTACACAAATAGGTTGTTGTTGATTGGAGGTCCCTAAACATCATATAATATTATTCAAATTTCAGAGACTAAGCATAACACACAGTGCAAAAAAAGCTTGCCATTTGAATTTAGTAATCACAAATCTCGAAAACCGGACCGGTCATGACATTTTTTCGCGAGCAGTGGGAGCTTATGAATTGATTGATGATTCTGTTCCCAGCTGTTATGCATTGAATGTAAACTAATCAACCATATTGCCAATATGCTATGGGATTTGTTCGATCGATCGATGACATTTTCATAGAGTTTATTAACTTTAGGGAAACATGAATTTGAAAACTAAAGGGAATTTAGAGCAACAATAAGAAGTCAATTTGAATCAAAGGCTATGAAAATGGTAGGAACGGCAGGCATCATACTTGATACGCTTGATCCGTTTGATCCCCTTGATCTACTTCGCCATTGGTCAGTTCGCTGATCTGATTAATAACGGAGTAGATAAAGCGGATCAAGCGGATCAAGCATGGCGCGTGTCAAAGCAGGTAGACTGATTGGGACAAATTAAAAGTGAAAAAGAATTTTGTGGTTTTCAGCTAAAAAAAACAATTCATTTTATTTTGGTCTAAGTAAGTCCTTACCGTATTTAGACAGTTCGTCCGCGATCTGTTCGCTTATATCAGTAGAATCCCAATGCAAGTCCGCAACATAACGCCGACCAGTACGCAATCGCTGTCGTATCGGGGGTGGATTCGAAGGCGATGACGACTGCATCCCACCCAGATGACCGTCGAAGACGCCTTAGTTCTTGAAAGCTTGACGGCGGGGGAGCAGCAAGTCAATGGCAAGTGTCCAGTAGTTCTTCCTAGCGCTGGCATGCCGCTGGCAAACTGATAGCACTCAAAACTCTCGTGTAGCTGTTCTCTGGGGAGCACTTTTGATGAGAGACAATTGATCTCTCTACAATGAGTTGTATTCGTTTCCTCACCCTTCTCTCTCCAAGAACTTTAGAGAAGAAGGGATCGTTTGTAAGTATGAAAAGCAGTAGAAAAGTCCAATAACTTGCCGCAATCTTTGAAAATCTTGGATAGAATAAGGTGGATTTGCATGAAGTGGGTTGGCCAGCTAGATACTGAAAGTTACAGATGTTATGCAACTTCACTGGAACCCAGAGATGAAGCAGATGAAACAATTGAGTTACTTTCAGTTAATTGTCATTATTCAGAATGTCATTTTTACGTCTAAATTGATTTTATTTCATTAAAACACTAGATCTGCATCTCTGCTAAACCTTCATAAGAAGCGAAAATTTCTTCCTTACCACAGTCAAAGTCACAACATTTGGCTGAGGATACGAGAATCGAAACAATGTTACTACACAATAGTATTTGACGTGGTTCTTTTTGCCTTGGCATTTGAACATCATTTTACCACCCATAGAAGTTTGATCGGCAAGGAACGAGTTCTGATTATTGTGTGACTGACTCTTGTGTTCTAGTGTTTGTGCTTCTGTTCTTTTTTATTGCCATAATAGTTAAGTACATACATATCCTTTGATTCAATGGAATTGGCGGTTGGAAGGCGGGACTTAAAAGCCTAATCAAGGCTAAAAAATAATCAGAGAGCACGCATATCGAGAGAGACGCAGCTGCGTAGCGGGTGCGAGCTGCCGCCTTCCAGCCGCCAATCCCTTTGAATCACAGGGTGGATAGATAGATACCTCCCCCAACCCTCTATTCTTTCTCTATGACCATTGAGTTCTAGTACAGCAAACGGCTTTGCTTCATTCATAACTTATCTTCACTATCCTCTCTATCAAGCCGAGTCTATCGATGTTATGAAATGGTATCGGACCAAAAGAAAAAACAAGTACTTTGAACTCAAGTGGGGTGTTTATATAGCACTGAGTACAAGCGATATTAGAAGTGTATTTGTAAACAAAGAATATCCAAGTGCAAAACACAAACCGAAACAGCTCCAGTTCTGCCGCGATCTTTTCTAGAAAAAGTACTGCTTGAGATATGTAGCTCTCATATCAAAGTATAATATATATACTAGTATAAAGCCTAAAGCCAACCTATACCGGAACGACCACAAAAATCAGAAAAGAGGTTGAGCGCATGACACTTTTGAAGCTGAACTCGGCGAAATGGAATCCATAGGATGAGTACTAAAATGCTGTTTCTAATCTGATCTCTCATGTATCTTTCTTCTAGAAAGGAAAGGTAGTCAGAATTGATAAAAATTGAATTTTGATCTGCAAGAAACAATTTGACCCACGTGAGTTTCGCTAGATGTAAAAGCTAAGATTGAATGTTTTGCATCGGCTGCGTTCATACTGATCCCAAATTCGGGAAAAGTTTCAACACAGCGCTCGAAGTTCGAGCACTGTGCTGGAACTGTTCCCGAACATGCGGATCAGTGTGAACGCACCCATCATTTTATCATTTGCAATACGCAGTTCTAAAGAAAACCAAAGTTCGCGACTTCCCGCAAAAACGGTTTGCGATAACGACCACAGAATTCCAGTCGCGTATCAAGAAGCATCTGTTAGTAAACATTTGATAAATCATACGTCAGTGCAGATAGATGGACAAAGTAACTTTTTTGTGAGTCTCAAAAGTCTTATCAGAAAAACGATCTATGCCGATACTAAACAAGAAAATTCAGGCACTTTTATATGCATATTATGATAGCTAGAGGAGGATCAAGCCAACGAAAATCGTATACTCAGTACATTCGAATTTCAAAAATTCATTTTGGGATACGAAAAGAGTACTGAGTACACGCATGCAGAACAAAAACAAAAAAAAATTTCATCACAGCAGCTAGAGATGTGAAAAAACGAGAACTAAGAGAGAAAAATGAATTGCTCAACATCAATAGGCCTATGAAAAAAGACATAGCAGAAAAAAGGTTCATTAAGTCACAAGTAGATAAATAAATAAGATGAAGACCTCGTGCAGGAGGAGAGCAACAGGGATGATATAATCACCCTTGAATCTGTTTGGAATTTTTATTTCTGAGCGTTTCAAGGAGCATGTCCAAGAGATGGCATGCATCAATCATTTGCGCCATCTCTCAGACGCGAGCTAAGCCATATGTGCCACAAAGAAAGTCATAAAAATCACATTTCTTGAAATTCTTTTATGCTTTTGTCTGCAAAATGGTGTAAGCCCTTTAAACTGAAGGAATTATTATAGTTCTTGTGAGAAGGATGTAACCGTCAATTTACAAGCAGCAAACACAAAAATTCAAATTTTTCAAGAAAAGATTAGCTGATATTGCAAAGGGTAGAGTTCATTAGAAGAGGAGAAAACGGACACCATAAAGCCTTGTAAAACTTTGCCTAATATTTAACGCCAAGAGGAAGATTTTCAACTTCAAAATTATTTGGCGTCCATCTAAAAACACAGGGCTTGCCATGTATCTATGGAAGAGTTTTTCGTATGGTACATTGCAAGTTGTCGATGCAAGAATGTTAAAGCAAGAAAAAGGCTGAAGAAAAAAATAAGCGGTGCTGCAAAGTGCAAAAGTGATCAGAAACAAAGAATCGCAGTGAAAAAAGATTTAGCAAAAATAAAAAAAAAGGGTTCACGCTATTGGAAAAAAGCTCTTCAAAAGCCGACGCAGGTGAAATATCATTGCTTTAACAGTTTCAAGAAACAAATGATTATAAAATGGAACCAAGCTTCAAAAAGTGGGCTTATCTACAAGATTTCTGAACTGAGTTAAGGTGATAGTGTCCAATACATAAACTACCACCAATAAAATGTGACATAATTCATAGACGAGGTTAATCGCACGGAAACGCATCTATCAATGGGACAGATAGTTATTTGCATTGTTGCAAAGGCAAAAACCAGTGGAGGCCATAGTCGGACAGATGATGAAATACAGATCGTCAAATCTGTTGCGAATGTGCATTTTGAGTAAGAACGCAAAAACGTGCAATGATGAGGAACAGTGATCAAATCAAAAAGAAAACACACTGAACAAAAAATACTACAGGCAGAAACATATTAGACAGTGTTTCAAAAGCCAGAAGCTTTGTAAGAAGCGAAGTAGGTGGCCACTACTGCGATAGTAGTGCATGCTAGCTTCACAGCTAGCATACAAGTGCCCTTTGAAAAAGTTGAAGCCAATTAACCAAATTACTGCTTAAAGCTTCACGGTGTACTAGATCTCGTACTCAAGTCTATCAGCAGCAATACTACGAAAGTAGATACTGAAAAGAAGTGTTAATTACATAAACTACTTATCAATCACCTTTTTATGAGAAGTAAGCTGTCCAGAGAAGTGCATCTACAACGAACAAAGAAATTCGAAAAGTGATAAAGTGACAACAGCTGACAGCTGCCGAGAGCAAGGTAGCGACGAAAGCGAAAACGTGCAACATGCGATCGATGCATGCCGCGAGGTGGGAGCACAAACAGCGGACCAAACGCCAAACCGCGGCGGCACTCCCCGTGAGAGCCCCTCGTGACGCGGTCATCACATGGGGGTAGAGGGTCGCGACGATGCGTAGTAAAAATGGCAACAACTGCGCCATGTGTGTAAGTTATCAAGTGCGATGCAAAAACTCGTCTGCGAGACTCGCTCAAGCGCCACTCTACGAGCGATGCACCCCCCGAATCGATGCAAGCGAATTATTTCCGAGGGAAACGAAATGCACGCAAAATGCGGACAGCACAAGTTCTGTGCAAATATGGTGACAAGCAAAATCTGCTGTGCATACTGTGCAACAAAAATCAACTATAGGAATGCGAAAGTGCTGGATTTCGTCATCAAAGGATGAGAATTACATTGTAAAATCAGCGCGTCTAACGATAGTAATGCTCAGATTGCTGAGATTATGAGAAACTTTGAACTGGCAAGAAAACTGCGCTATGAGTTCTGTAAGGAAAAAGAGGTGGAGCGGAAGTCAGAGTACAATCGGTCATTTACAACTTTGTGTACAGTGAATTCCAGTCTATCTTTTTAGTTACAGAACTCATAGCGCAGTTTTCTTGCCAATTCAAGGTTTCTCATAATTTCAGTCTCTCATAATATCATTCCGCTTGGCCTAGTGAGTCTCTTCAGCTGAGGAAAATTAGTAAAATAAATTCCAAGCAAAGAAACCAGTCGAAAATGGATATAAGTAATTACAAGTTATGGCATGTACATAGACTTAAAAGTGGAGAAAACAAAAAGAAATCTCTTAAAATAAGTAATCTGCAAACATGTCGTCGAATGACGTGCATGGAGTACAGTACACATCAAGTTACAAATGACTCAAACGTAGATAATATTATCTTGCTTTCACATCTGTAGTTTATGGACTTTAGTCGTGGACTTTGCTATACTGACCATAGAGGGAGAGAAGGGGAAAGTGTATAAGCCTAATTTGTGTTGCTACGCTTGCTCATCCCAACCGCACTGTGTAATTGCACAACTTGCAAACTGCATCAAAACAGACCAGTGGCCGTATTCATCATTGATAACCTTGAGGTAAATTCTACCTCCAGGTAGTTTTATCACTCATTATCAACAAATACCCGTATTCACAAAAGTACCTTGAGGTAAATTCTCCAGGTAAATTTTACCTTGAGAATTTACCTCAAGGTGTTTAGTATTGAATGGAAAGTACCTTGAGGTAAATTGTACCTCAAGGTACTGTTATCACTCAGAATCGGTATTCATCAAACGGACTGCGTTTACCTTGAGGTAAATTCTCAATGCAACTTCTAACCTTAGCTGAGGGCAAGGTTAGACGGATACCCTTAAATATCTAT